GGGGCGGCCAAACCAAAACGTGGCATCAGTGCTTGAAGTCACTAACTTCTGGTCTGAGCCATGTTGGTAGATGCAGACTACCTGGTTGGGGTCCGCGTGACTATCGTAACCAATGGTTGGAGACTCTTGGTGACATGGCTCAGAATCGATCACAATGGCGTCGGTGTATTCACTCTCTGTCTTCCTTTAAACTAAGAGATTAAAATCACTTCAAATCTTTCTTTCTACGAACTAATTCTATCTTCCTGTACTATCTCCTTATACACAGTCTTTCTTCTATATATTACCACCACTGAATTAACTACTTCTATGAATCCGGTGTTCATCTTGTTGTGCTAATGCGGTATGGCATCTTGGACCGATGCATATACGTGCCTGGTCCTACGTTGCAGCTGACTGACTGAATGGTGAATTGATTCACTCGGTTGTAAAATTCCTTGATTCAGATAGTTGAGACATTTAAAACACAACGTTTGGTTGTACTGTATTTGATTGAAAAGAACTGTACAGCAACATCAAGACTTGACATTAGCCCATGATATCATTGGACTTGGGACTAAGAGGGCTTTTCGATTTAGGTCCTCAAAATAATCGCAATCCTTTTTTATATGCATTTGATGACAAAACGCAGTGACACAGATGTACCCATTCTTTATTTTCTTCTAAATCTTAGGTTTGAATTAGATCTCATACTCTCCATCATCCGATTTTATCCCTTCCCAATTATATTCCTAATGTTTAATTCCCAATGTCACCAAGTCATGAGGTCGATGTCCTTTCTAACAACCGGAGCAGCAATCAATATAGGCATATCAGATTTCCGGACAATGTGGAAAACTGGAAGGACCAATCAAATAGCTACGGAGATGAGGAGATACAACTTGTCGGTTCTCGGAATCAGAAAAACCCATTCAACCCTAGTTGTACAGGAAAGGTTAAATTCAGGATTTATGCTATTGTACTTTTATTTATTTATTTTAACACATAAATATCGGTACAAGAAGGCACCAAATACATATGCGCCACACAGATCTCATTTGATATGTGTGAGGGCTGTGATACTGCCCGGGTGCCCAAACCGAAGCAGGATTGTACTTTGGTCACGAAGAAGGAAATACTCTGCACACTCAGAGAGTTACTCTGATGCTGTCCACGGAAGCATATAAAGCACTTAAAGGACGGGTATTCCATGGATCCAGAATCACCAAAGCACCTTCAAAACAAAGAAGGAGGAGATCACAATTAATGTTATCCAGTGTTATGCACCCACCAATGATAGCTACGAAGACGACAAAGACCAGTTTTACAAGAGGTCGCAATCGATCACAGCTAAGTGATCAGGAAAGTACCTGACCATCCTAATGGGGGACCTGAACATAAAAGTTGTAATGAACAGCACTGGGTATGAAGATACCATGAAACGACATAGACTGACTGGGAGTAAAAGAAAGAGAGTGGTGAGAGATTTGCAAATTTATGTGCATTCAACAAAATGGTTATAGGCGATACATTATTCTCCCCTCAATGCATACACAAAGCTACATGGGTCTGACCGGATCACACTACAGAGAACCCGATCGATCATATCGAATCCCTTGACTATGAGAAAGCATTTGACATCGTGGATAGGAGAACATCAAGGAAACTTCTTCGACAATATGTTGTACTTGGGAAGGTCGTCAACATCATCCGGAATTCATCCCATCAGGTTCTGAACACGATGGAGAGCGGAAACAAATCAGATCTAGGTTAAGCAAAAGTCTAAGGAACGATCGTGAGCAGTGGTGGGCAACGAAAGCAAAAGAGATGGAAAAGGCGGCGGCTATAGGGAACACAAGACAACTCTACAGACTAATAAAAGAAACTGAAATTAATAAATCAAGTGTAAGTCAGACTATTTCGGAAAAAGACGACACTCTCATCTGCTCCCAGTCCAGACGTTTAGAACGATGGGCGGAACATTTTAAGGAGCAGTTCAGTTGACCTTCAGCTACTCTACAACTACCCTCTATTCCCAGACAGTATGAATGGAACATTGAAGTAGGTCCCCCAACTCTAGCTGAAGTTTAAAAGGCTATAGCTAATCTAAAACGAGGAAGGGCAGCTGGTCCAGACGGATTGGCCCCAGAGGTCTTTAAGGATGGTGGTCTAGTTTTAGCTATTAGGTTGACTAATATTTTAGCTAAAATCTGGGAGTTAGACGTTATTCCATCTAACTGGTCACAATCACTTATCGTCCCAATATTTAAGAAAGGGTCAAAATCATCCTGTGACAACCACAAAGGGATTAGTTTAACTAATATAATATCTAAAATACTAGCTTCGATAATTATCGGACGCCTAACTAAGACTCGTGAACTGCAAACACGTGAAAATCAGGCTGGCTTCAGACCTGGTCGTGGCTGCATCGACCACATATTCACCATTCGTCAGGTTCTAGAACACAGGCATACTTATCGGCGTCCGTTAATGGTGGTCTTTCTTGACTTAGAAGCAGCGTTTGACTCTGTAGACCGAGAGGTTCTGTGGCAGTGTCTGTCAGTGAAAGGCGTACCTCAGAAGTACATAAACCTTGTGAAAGCTCTTTACTCGAACACTACTAGTCGAGTCAGAGCTTATGGCGAACTGTCATCTCCTTTCGCAACCTCAAGTGGCGTCCGCCAAGGCTGTCCACTTTCTCCAATTTTGTTCAACTTCATCATAGATCTACTGATGGAAATAACGCTCTCATCGACTGAATTCTCGGGTATTGATCTCCTACCAGGAGGTCCACTTATTGACTTAGAATACGCAGATGACATAGTCCTGTTTGGTGAAGACGCTGATGAAATGCAGAGTCTTTTGGTAGCACTGAGCAACAATGCCAGAATGTTTGGGATGCACTTCTCTCCCTCCAAATGCAAGTTGTTGCTTCAGGACTGGTCTGCGTCAACACCTGAACTAAGGATAGGGGGTGAAGTAGTCGAACGCGTCGACAACTTCACTTATCTTGGAAGTCTGATCAGCCGTAATGGGTTGGTGTCTGACGAAATCTCAGCACGGATTCGAAAAGCTCGCTTGGCCTTTGCCAACTTACGTCATCTATGGCGAAGGCGAGATATCCGTCTATCAATTAAGGGACGAGAATACTGCGCGGCAGTTCGTTCCGTTCTACTATACGGCTGCGAAACTTGGCCTTTAAGAGTAGAAGATATTCGTAAGTTACTAGTATTTGACCACAGGTGCCTTAGAAATATTGCGGGTATCTGCTGGGATCACCAGGTAAGTAATAGTGAGGTTAGACCCAGGGTATTAGGAAATGATGGTAAATCAGTTGATGAGTTTATGAACCTTCATCGACTGAGATGGTTGGGCCACGTGCTGCGTAGGCCTGAACACCGATTACCACGACGCGCAATGGTAACCGGTGTTAGGGATGACTGGAAGAAAGTTAGGGGCGGCCAAACCAAAACGTGGCATCAGTGCTTGAAGTCACTAACTTCTGGTCTGAGCCATGTTGGTAGATGCAGACTACCTGGTTGGGGTCCGCGTGACTATCGTAACCAATGGTTGGAGACTCTTGGTGACATGGCTCAGAATCGATCACAATGGCGTCGGTGTATTCACTCTCTGTCTTCCTTTAAACTAAGAGATTAAAATCACTTCAAATCTTTCTTTCTACGAACTAATTCTATCTTCCTGTACTATCTCCTTATACACAGTCTTTCTTCTATATATTACCACCACTGAATTAACTACTTCTATGAATCCGGTGTTCATCTTGTTGTGCTAATGCGGTATGGCATCTTGGACCGATGCATATACGTGCCTGGTCCTACGTTGTAGCTGACTGACTGACTGACAGCGGACTACACTACAAAGTGGTGCATGTAGGGCTGATTTCTCTCCCCCTTCCTCTACTGGTGGTTGACTGGACTATGAAGACCTCGACATCTGAGGGAAAGCACGGAGTACAATGGACAGCTTGGATGCAGCTAGATGATTCGTACTTCGTAGATATGACTTCGCCCTTCTAGCCATTATGTCATACAAATTATAGTTTTTCGCTATACTCACTAATGAGAAACGGATTTATGCTTCGATACCGTAATTAATAAACATTTGGTGTTATAATTCGTTGCTTTTTTTTAGAAAAATTTAATTCGCTTTTTCTGATCAAGCATGTTGAGATATGTTGGAAAGTTATCATACTTATTTGATTATGTATAACATTCTAGCTTTTACTACTACTCAACATGCTTGATCAGATAAAGCGAATTAAATTTTTCTAAAAAAAGCAACGAATTATAACACCAAATGTTTATTGTTCCTGAAAACACTACTGTTTATTATGGTATATATATATATATATATATATATATATATATATATATATATATATATATATAATATATATTAATATACATATTAATAAACAATAAGACTGTTGTTGAATTTTATATGAATGTAGTTATAACTATATCATTTAGGGAGCCATTCATAAGAAAACAATTACATACATAGTAGAAAAGTGGATCGATCAGCTAACAATAATACTTTCATAAAACCACTTGTCTTAATTACCAATACAAAACGAAGTGCACATCATATATATATATATATATATATATATATATATATATATATATATATATATGATGTGCACTTCGTTTTGTATTGGTAATTAAGACAAGTGGTTTTATGAAAGTATTATTGTTAGCTGATCGATCCACTTTTCTACTATGTATGTAATTGTTTTCTTATGAATGGCTCCCTAAATGATATAGTTATAACTACATTCATATAAAATTCAACAACAGTCTTATTGTTTATTAATATGGTTGAAAACTATGGATTGTGAAGTAATACTAAAAGGATGATCAAAGTAATTTACTGTAAATATATCTAGGAAGATATTTGGTAAACCTTATTGACAATAATTGTTCCTATCTAATTGGCATTAAAATTCCTAATATTTAATAAATTGTTTTCTTCTGTCTCTTTGATTTCACCTTCGTAAGGCACGGGAAAGTCTCAATATTCCATGGGCTGGTGGACTTGGTTCCGCTGCTGCTCAGGCCAGTAGAGAAATCGAGGCACATTTTAAAGAAACTCAAATGATGCGTCGCGAGCGCTCTCGACTTGGTCAACCACTTTGGTTAGAAGAAGAATTTCTGGAAATTGTGCCTTCACTGAATGCAATTTGGAAAGATGAAAGTGTTCGATTGGCATTCGATCAACGTTCAAAAATTATTACAGAGAATTTCGTAAGTTGAATTATTTTTACGAAGCATACTTTTGATTGAAAAATTTGCTTCACATACATTTCTCAATAATTTCTTGTTTTGAAGTTTTATTGTTTTTGGTAACTCAACTTAATGGACTTGAATAAAATCAATATTTAAAATTTAGGAGAGGCCAAAATGCCTCTTCCTATAAATTTGGGTCTCTTAAAGGTGTTCTTCCTTGGTAGGTGGGATAAGTACTGTTTGTTCCGGCGAATATATAACTTTTGATAGAATAAGGACAGCAAACGTACATGAACAATCTGAATTCATTTTATTTCGTGGTTTCTCATCATCTGCTCGCAACCTAAACATAATAGTATTAATCATTAAAAATCAATATACATACTTTAAATCATAATATCAGAATTGTTCTCATCAATAAAAATAAATAAAACTAGTATATATGAAAGAATTATAGAGAGCGTTCAAATGGTAGAATATAATATGAAAGTTCTGGGAGAAAAAATCGGTTTTCAAAGTTACGTAATAATAACAACGAGAAATGAACTGATAAAAATAAGTTAAGCTCAGGTAAAACTCAAAAAGGTACGAAAAGAAAAAAACTTTAATTTGTAAACAAAAATTGTCACAAACGAAAGCCACTAGTACAATACAAGAGTGTCCTTTCGAATGCATAAGTATGGCTTACGTCTTTTGATAGCAATTGCTTCGGTAAGTTGTTATAAGTTCGAAGTTGTTTGTCTGTTAATAATTTTGAACTGTTTTGAAATCTCGACGTCGTGTCCACTATCAAGTAGATGAGGACTAATCGAACTTATGGGGGGCGTGTTTATCTATCAGTCTCAAGTTTTGATACGTACAGTAACTCTCCTTTGTGCTTCGATACGTAACATATAAACTGGTATATACAATTGAAAGTAATGTAATATGAGTACTTGTTCACTTTCGAATGTCTAAGCGAGCACTCTGTTTCATATATCGAGACTAGTTTTGCTGCTATATAAGTCCTTTACAATGAAGCTGTTAGTCTAGCATCAATATTACAACATACTTCGTCACTTTTAAATACAAATCGTATGAAGACAGGTTTTTTTCCACTGTGGCACACTTTGTTACTTTCGTTCTTATTTTCCAATATTTCATCGAAATCACGAATCGATTAATATAAGACTTTCATTGAAACCATAGAAGCACTGGATGGCCGTTTTATTCTAGCATGAGACTCCTCAGTAGTGCTCATCCATGATCCGCACACGGTACTCAAACCTATGAACCTTTTCCCGCGCGAACATCTATGTTACTAATGTAACATCTGGTTCATTGAGTCGGCGTCCAACGGCGTTAGTATCTGATTTCAATCAATCCACGATATTGCGCAACCACTTTCCATTGTCTTTGGTTGGCAGCCGCTTCACATCCGACACGTTTATACTCCACTCCAATATTTATTGGTAAACTGTCGTTGATAATCATTATAACTCAACAATGATTAATTACTCTTCAATCTCGTCCTCTGAACATAATTTTTGTACTCGATAGAATAGAGGTCTAACTAAAGCTAGTTTATAACGTATCAAACAGCAGCTATTAAAACTCAAATAAAGTTCATTCCATGTATCCTTTTAATGAATAATTCTTGGAATTCGACCTATACCATAACGTTGGATACCAAGGTTTGAAGAATAAAGCATATTGTCCTGCTCATGTTGCATTGTAAATCATATATTCGGATATGCATGATTGAAAAGATTCAGCATATTAGAAGCATGTTTGTGACTATTGCAAGCAACACACTTGCCTACCTCCTTTAACAAAGAATGACTTCAAACAGCTCTTACTAATGTGTACAAAAGATGTATACTCCCAATTTAACAATATCCTATATCGCTAAGTTGATGGAGGCTCTATGAGAAGTATGTTAGTCCTGATCTTGCTTGCACCAGTCACAAACATACTTTTAATACGACATCCTTCATACACACAAGCAAGAGCCGTTCGAAGTCATTCTTTGGTAAAGAGAGGATATTCGTAGGTCACTAGTATTGATCATAAGTATCTCCAAAGCATCGCTCGTATATTGTGAGACCACTGAGTGAGCAGTAACGAGGTTGTGAGTAGGGTATTTTGTGAAGGTGGCGAATCGGTTGATAATGTGGTAGATCTTCATCAACTGAGGTGGTCGAACACGTGTTACGTATGTCCAACCACCGTCTACCTGAACGGGAGATGTTTTTTGGTGTGGGGGTTAAGGGCGGTCCAACGAATACATAGTACCAGTCCATGAAGACCCTGGGAACTGGACTGAGGCATGTTAATAGGTGGAGACTTACTGTTTTGGGTCTGCCTGATTGTCCTAACCAATGGTTCGAGTCTTTGGGTGACATGGATCAGAATTGTTCGCAGTGGTGTAGGTGGATTTCTCCTTATCTTTCTCTAAATCCTCAGTCCTGAAATCTACTTATACCTTGTTTATTTTTCCTTAACTTATTTTGTTTCTTCCTACTAATGAAACTGATACTACTACTTTCGGATTCGCTTTAAAATAATTTTATCTTGCTGTGTAATGTGGTATGAGAACTTGAAATAGTGTACATGCGTCAGGTTATGCACATGGTGATGATAATAATGCGTTCTGAGTGTCGTGACTTTAGTTTTCGTATTTATTGAATGTAGTAGTATGAAAATATCTAGCTCAAAACAACATAATCTTGTATGAGAAACAATAACTTGTGTGTACTCGTATTCAAACATAAAAATCCTTTACAAATGAGTAAAAATAAGCATGTAACGGTTTTGATGGAGAGGTACAACCTGCAAATCATTCGATTACCTTGTTTCCATTGACTTCACAGTTATATATTTTTGTTAACATCACTTAGTTTAACAGTTATTTAGTTACGTTTGAGTAATAGTTTTAACAGTGATTTGTCGTTGTGTTTCTTTTGTGAACGAGAAGTTCATTTTACCTACGTGTTCTTATTTGACTTCTGCTAGGTAATAGTTAAAGATAAATTCAATTTCATCTTCACATATACTAAGAATTATTTCCGGTTGTAAATTTACTATGTTGGTTACATTTCATTTGTGTCTAATTTTCCGTCTTAAAAACAAAATCAAACTTGATATCACCAATGGTTAAGTCAGTCTGCTATATACTTACTTACTTACTTACGCCTCACAAAGGAGCATAGGCCGCTCACCAGCATTCTCCATCCAACCCTGTCCTGGACAATCCTTTCCAGCTCTTTCCAGTTGTTATTCATCCTTTTCATATCTGATTCTATTTCCCGACGTAATGTGTTCTTTGGCCTTCCTCTTTTCCGCTTCCCTTCAGCATTCCAAGTTAGGGCTTGCCTCGTGATGCAGTTTGATGATTTGCGTAATGAATGTCCTATCCATTTCCAACGTCTTTTCCTAATTTCATCTTCAGCTGGAAGCTGGTTTGTTCTCTCACAAAGTAGGCTGTTACTGATAGTATCCGGCAAATGGATGTTGAGTATCTTGCGTAGACAGCTATTTATAAATACTTGTACCTTCTTGATGATGTTTGTAGTGGTTCTCCAAGTTTCCGCTCCGTACAATACTATTTCACAGGTTCCATTCCCACTTCATCCACTTTGGTTTGGACAAGCAATTAGTATTATTAGCTTTTACAAATAACGTTGCCCAAGGACAATAACATGGATAAACGTTTGGTAAACTTCATTTTCAATCTACATACATACAACGTATTTTCAAACAGGTCCCAAATACTTGTTGGTATTGAAGATTCTGAATTTGATATTGGTTGAAAGTTGTTTTGAGTTCCATATGTTCCTCAATTGTATGAATACGGACCTTGCTTTGCCAATCCTCACCTTAACGTCGGCATCTGATCCTCCACGTTCATCAATAATGCTTCCCAGGTACCTGAAGGATTCTACATCTTCCAGAGTTTCGCCATCAATAATGATTGGATTGCTGTTCTCCGTGTTATATTTGAGGACTTTGGTTTTCCCCTATGTATGTTGAGGCCTACTGATGCAGAGACTGCTGCTACACTGGCTGCCTTTATCTGCATTTGTCTGTGTGTACGTGATAGGAGGGCTAGGTCATCTGCGAAGTCCAAGTCGTCTAATTGGTTCTGAGCTGCTCATTGTATTTCGTGTTTCCCTCAGATGTCGAGATCTTCATAATCCAGTCGACCACCAGAAGAAACAGGAAGGGAGAGAGTAGACAGTCTTGTCTTACTCCGGTCCTTACTTGGAATGCGTCTGTCAGCTGTCCTCCATGCACTACTTTGCACTGTAGTCTGTCGTATGAGTTCCGGATAATGTTGACAATCTTCTCAGGAACTCCGTAGTGTCGGAGAAGTTTCCATAACGTTCTCCTATCTACACTGTCAAATGCCTTCTCATAATCAATGAAGTTGATGTACAGTGACGAGTTCCACTCACCTGATTGTTCGACGATGATCCGTAGTGTCGCAATTTGGTCCGTGCACGACCGATCCTTACGGAATCCAGCTTGTTGATCTCGAAGTTGAGCGTCAACTGCGTCTTTCATCCTGTTCAGTAACACTCTGTTGAAGACTTTCCCTGGTACTGACAGTAGTGTAATGCCTCTGTAGTTTTCACACTTGCTCAGATCTTCTTTCTTTGGAATCTTGATGAGGTGTCCTTCCTTCCAGTCCATCGGCACTTGTTCCTCCTCCCAAATCTTCTTGAATAGAAAGTGAAGCATGTTCGTAGTTACTTCGATGTCTGACTTCAACGCTTCAGCTGGTATATTATCGGGTCCTGTTGCTTTCCCGCTCTTGATTTGTCTGATGGCCATTCTGATTTCTTCGGTCGTTGGTGGATTGACATCTATAGGAAGATCTGTGTGTGCTGCTTCGATGTCCGGTGGATTCATTGGAGCCGGCCTATTCAGGAGTTCCTCGAAGTACTCTGCCCATCTGTTGCGCTGTTGTTGAATCTCAGTGATTGGTCTTCCTTCTTTGTCTTTGACTGGTCTCTCTGGTTTACTGTATTTCCCTG